GTCAATTCCCAATTTGTGATAACTTATTGATAAATGTCTTGTTTTCTTGCTTGAATAATTTAGATGCGCCTCACTGGGTAGCAGAATAAGATTGTTTTCATAATTGAAAAATATCCAGTAGTACAAGGGAGTAAATTGTAAAAGCAATTCTAAAAACAACTATATAGGGGCGTAAATTTTAACAGCAAGTTAGTAGGGATTTATGTATCATTACCAGTAATTAATATGACTTGCAAAAATTACAGTTTTTGGGTTCAAGATCAATCAAGACCTGTTCAATCAGTCTTAAACAATAAATAAACCTTCTCTAAAGCTTAACAATTACACAATATGATGAAATCAGACTATATTTTACAAGGATAAATATATAAAACCAAACAATATTTTTTTTATTGAACTGTTTAATGACAGGTGATCAGCATTTAAACAATAATAATAATAATTTTAACATTATAGTAAATCTAACAGTCAATTTTGTACACAAAATCTTTGTCCATTTAAGTATCAAAGACATATTTGAAAAAAAGAACAATTTTTTTTACTAAATAAACACATTATATGTGTGTATATATTTGAATAAATATGTACAGTCTAACTATAAGGTCAATAAAACTTGCACCAAAACTACAAAACATGGTTATTTTGAAATTTTTTCTCTTTGATTGGTCGGTTTTGTTATTATAAAAAAAGAATACATATAGTGGTCAACATGCTTTTAAGAAATTTTGTCGATTTTATAATATACAATCACTTCAGCATTATTATTTTAATAGACATGTATTTAATGGAAACTATATTTGTCCTGTTTAAACCTTTCTCATTATAAAGTTGGATTTAATACGAGAGTGGTCATTAAATAGAGATATTGTACATTTAAGCTATCTTTTTAATTGATAGTAATAAATTTTTTTTTTCTGGATATGATGCCATTCTTTATACATGTACTTGTTACTGAAAGTTATATAATGACCGAAGACTAACTGTAACATATGTTAAAGCAAAATGTAAATATGAACAATTAATATTTATATATTTATATATAGGTATTTATGAAACAATTTGTACTTGAAATATTCATGTCTTATGTTATAGCCTAGACAAAATTATTGAAATAATGACTAAGTACATGTATGGCCATGTGTGTTGGAATGAAAACAATTGACCTAACGCATTTTCATAGCCCCTCAATGCATGACTTATATTCAATCTTTTTCTTGGATTCTACGATTTCCAATGTAAAATATCATGTAAAATGACTTTGAAATTTTTCCAAAAGTTTTTTTACACCAGAGGGTAAAATTTCATGTAAAGTGACATTTTCCAATAGTTTCTCTTTGATTTACAGTAAGTGTTGCACCAAATGGTGAAGATTTCATGTAGAGTGACATTTTCCAATAGTTTCTTATAAATTTACAATAGTGTTGCACCAAAGTGTGAATATTTCATGTAAAGTGACATTTTCCAATAGTTTCTCTTTGATTTACAGTAGTGTTGCACCAAACGGTGAAATTTCATGTAAAGTGACTTTTTGCAATTAAGTTTAGTATATAGGCGTAAAATGTTGTGTATTCTGTCAGAGTACTGTGTAAAGTTTTGGCATTGAGTTAATTTTACTATAAGCAATACAAAATAGACAACATCATTACTTTTATAATTATACAAGGAAAGACTCTGTGAGATTTATCTCCCTTTCTTGGAAGGGATTATTGTTGTTGTTGGTTTTTTGGAGGGGTTGAAAATTGAGTTAACATGAAATCCAAAACGTATATAAAAAAGGTGATTCTTTGTACATGATGGCAATAAAAAATGTGTGCTACATTCAGTGTAACAAATGCTTTTATACAAATAAACCCAAACTTTCTTAACCATCTTAGTTAAAGGGGCTCTGCTGACATCCAAAAGCCTAAAAATATAAATCTTAAAATTCTTTCTGAGATTGACTGGGGAACTTTAAAACAGAATAATACATAAAAATTGATTTAAAAATATAATGTGAATTAAATTAAAATTCGAGCTTTTATAAGATTCTTGGACAGATATTTGTTAAATGTGTTTATTAGGTCATAATATACATAACTAAAATCATTATTTTGAATGAACAAAGCAAGCGAATGATCCTAAATATTGCACACAAGTAATTGGTCCAGACTTACATCAAATGGTACTGAAATATCTAAAAAAATATTTCCTGTCCCATCATGGTAAAAAAAACCTCGGCTGAGTCCCTTTAAATGGTTTTTGTTTCAGTTTCCCTATCTGTTAATTAACATGCACTTTTACGTAAACTTTCTCCGATTACTTATAGATTATAGTCAGTAATTTTGTAGAAATAGCTCTGACTTTTATCTCATTAAAATTGATTGAAAACATTTGACATGTAAGAGAAATTTTAAAAGGTGAACATAAGATCATTTTAGGTCAGAAGTACTTTTAACTTTAAAGTGATAGAGTGAAAAATATGTGTACATGTGAATGATACATAATTCAATTTCCTGAATTTGAGAAAATTTAAGATATTTTGATAGTACATTATCGAAAATTCTTTTTAATTTGTGTAAAAATAATCCAATAATCAACCAACAATATAGAGCCTGGTCAAACTGCATGTACCGGTATATCCAGGCTGGCCTAGCTTAATATGTATGACAAATACTTATTAATTTTCGGAGCCATATATTTTAATTAAGGCTTGAACAAATGGGAGAAAAAAATGGCAAAATAAACAAAGAATTTTTTTACTGTCTAGGGCTCTTTATTGCCTATTTAATATTACAGTGGCTGAGTGATGTTATTATTCAGTGATCTGATATCTCAATGAAGTGATATCCATAACTTTATTATTGATATCTGTAATTACTGTGATAAGTTTTATTACTTTTTATGATGGCTATAATTACATATAATGTTGAACATTTAGTAGATGCAATTACATAATAACTATAATTTTGTACATTTTGTAAATGCAATTACATATAAAATTACAGATTTATTACATATTTTATAACTAGTAGCCCATATCAAGTGATAATTTATTACAATTTTTATTAGTAATCATATATTTTTAGATGTGTTATATGTAATCCTGTATCAATATGCTTGACGGCAATATTACTTAAATATCATTAATTGTTATTGATGCATACTTTATTGATTGTTTTTTTTATTGTATTATTAATACTAATTAAAATAGATATTTAGTGATTATTATTACGGGTTAAAAATGCACTGTATAAATATGACAAGAGAGTAATGGTTATTTAATGTTTTGTATTATCTCAGATACATTATAAGAGATTATTTTTTGTTGTAACAACTCAAATGAGATATAAGTGATATTTTGTATTGTAACATCTGGGATGAGATATAAGTGATATTTTGTATTGTAACATCTCATGACTGTATGATATAAGTGATATTTTGTATTGTAACATCTCATGACTGTATGATATAAGTGATATTTTGTATTGTAACATCTCATGACTGTATGATATAAGTGATATTTTGTATTGTAACATCTCATGACTGTATGATATAAGTGATATTTTGTATTGTAACATCTCATGACTGTATGATATAAGTGATATTTTGTATTGTAACATCTCGGATTAGATATAAATGATATTTTATGACTAACCATAAAAGAGGATATCTGATCATTCTTAATTACAAATTTACAGTTATTTTTATAAGGAACTGTACTTAAAGTGTATTGTTTAATGTTTGACATAGTTCCAATAAAAGTCTCATACGTCTTTTAGTTCCGGTGAAGTTCATAGTAAAGTGATGTTTCAGTGTGCCCACCGTTATGATTATTATCATATACATCAAGCAATTTATGATTTTAGTAATAATAATTACATATAATAGTAATTAAGTGTTATATGTATGTAATGTAAAGTGTTTTGATACAGAATATTTATTAATTGCAAATCCTAAATTATTCATATATCATTCAGAAATATATGTATTGAATTTCGATGGGGAAAAAAAAAATGAACAAAAAATAAACTGAAAATATTTTGGATGAGATATATATCATATCTTACTGTTTGAAATGGAGAGAAACTTTACGATTTTAGTTTCCTATTATCTGTAATTAATATAAATACAAATAGCAATGAAGTATCACATTGGCTTAAGATTTTAGTGAAGTAACAGTATTTCTATAAAAGAAGCATTCATTCGATGCCAAATGAATATATAAATATAAAAATTAAAAATCACTCTAAAAAGTTTTCATATTTTGATACTTTTACTAATGCCTCTTGTCAAGCACTTGACAATATCTTTAAAAAAAAACTGATATCTTAATAATGAAATATATTCGATATTCACTATAAAAAACAATGAAATACCCTTTATACGTCATATACCAGAAATAATCTGATTAAAAAGAATTATAGATAAAGTAATTTGATATTTAATTTGTGTCCTTATGTACTTTACAATAACAAACAAGCTTTTGTCTTTTTTATGCTTATTCAAACACTAACCGGTGGAACTTCATTAGACGAGACGAGGTTTAAAATGTTTTTGTCTGGGAGACAAAAATACGAGATTCATTACGTAGTCCACATGAGGGTTGGTATGATTGATCAGAGCTTAACGCTAATTTCGCTAGATGAAAATATATGTGATATAATGGAATTCCCGTCACTGCAATGAGAGGAAAGAAAATGACGTTTTTATTTCCGTGTCTGGTATAAACATGGGGGCTTATGTTATGGTTGGAGGTTACTGATTTTCCTGTTTTTGAAAGCTAAATTGACATAATGGTAACTTTATGGAAGTCTTAAAGGTAGATTATTACCGAATGTAATACCGACGGCACCAAAAAAGACAGCTCTGCAGGGAGTTTACGGTATGAAGGCAGTTAAATGCAGATTATGCGTAATCTGCGTTAAGTTTCCTCGGAGAAAATTGAGACAAATGTTTTTAAGATATGCATTCAGGTTATTAACATGTTTTCCATTTTTCTGAAGACTGGGTCAGAAGTCGAGCTGGTTTCTGACTAAAGCTTTATCATCAATAGTCATTTAATTTAGTACTTAGAATGCAATTTTATTTGTTAAATTGTGGAACAAGAAATTTAATAATGGTGAATGATTGCATCTCACACTTTCAGAGAAGTATTTTTAACCTTAATATCACATTTCTTCTTTTCTCGGTCATTGTTGTAGGGTCATTGTTGTACGTCCATTTTCTCAATACCGGTAGATAAAAATCTGTCGCTCAAACTACGATCTTTTTATTTATGTGTCATTTGTACTTTTGATGTTCATACTTTGCTTCTATAATTATAGCATAAAATCACCTCTCTTGACTTTACTGAGACAATCAATCTGTCCTAATTTTATAATTACATACGTTTAAAATACTGTTGAATAATGGCAAACGAGAAAATAAATCTGAGCTCTTCTTTGAACCGGCAAAGGAAGTTGAAAGATTTACTGAATAATCGTACAATTAAACTGTTCGGGGTGAAAATTACAAAATAGCGCATTTAAAGATATATGGTGCGCTTACTTAAAGCTCATATATTACCATCGTAATTCTTACAGCCCGGAGCAAGATTCGATGAATTGAAATGTGAAATGTCAATGTGCTTGAAAACCAGTTCTTAGAAGTTTTACAGGAGAAGCCATATTAAATTTCAACGTTTAATTCGGCAGCTGTCATTTTCCATTATTCTTATTTATGTCTTTGCGACCATAAATGGGTTTGTTTTGTTCAGCTCGGTGTTCGTTTGTATCATGTTTTAATTGATTTTGGTGATGCCGAGAAAGATATAAGAAAAGAATTATGATAACAGATTTAGCTATGTTATGATCCTTCCATATTTTCATAATAAAATTATGATTTTTTTTTTTCAATTTTATTTAAAAAAACTCACTGTGTTTCTGCCATTTCTTTTTTCATTAAAAAACATGTTCCTGTTTACACTTTCAAAGCAATTCACTTATACTGGTACATTCAATTCACTCCTACATTTTATTTGTACTTAAATTTAAATAATTCTTTATTTAATAAATTATTTTCATCGTGGCACTGGCTATTTTGTAAAGTTCCATATTCACTGAGTACAATTTACAAATTTTTGAAATATGCAAAAACAAAATCTTTTTAAAAGAAGAAAAATTAACTAAATTAAATTGCCTTATTAAATTGCGTTTGGGGGTATTGAAATAGTGCAAAGACTGAAAAATTATAAAGATTATAAAAGTAAAGTGAAATAAAGTAATAACATCAGCAGTTCTGGTGATTTTGATATGAATGGTTTTTAGCAAGACAGAGAAAACAGGTAGTTTTTAACCCTTAACCTGCTGGTGGCAATGGATTGACCCCATGTTACCAGTGCAGACGAATTTCAACTGGCACATCTGTGCTGTCTCATCATGGTCTACACTGTTTGATGTTCAATGAGAACATATTTTGAAATTTTCCCTAAAAATCATGAATGGTTTTGTCCAGATTGAAAGATGGACAAGTCCATTTAAGTTATTTAGAGTACGTGGTAAAGGTACCTATAGTAATGTGTCACCTCGGTAAGTTACTGCCACAAATCTTGATAAAATTAATAACAATCATTCTGTCACCTTACAGAGAATGAGAGAAAAAAAGAATATTTCTGTTTGCAAACTGCTTCTTGATTCTTTGTGATTAAAATCTTTATTTGTTATTGACCCTTAGCTGTGAGAAATCAATATTTATGGCATTTGTAGTTGTTTTTAATTTCCCACTTTGTATGACATATGGCATCGTTAGATGTGAAGAGCTATTTTGTTGTCTTTTTCTTATAAGTTCATCCAATATGGTATGAGTGATGAACTTTTGAGCAAAATAAGGTTACAGCAATATTACATATGCATAATGAAATATTTATAGTTTGTGCTCAAACCAATGGTATATACCTATATATTGGGTGATACTGGATTAATGATATTACACAACACCTCTGCAGGGTAGTGACATATTCTAACAGAAGAAAACCCTTTTCACTTCTTAGAAATAAAGTAAGGGAGAAAAATTCTATTATTATGGTATTTTGAGGTTCTTATGAACTAACATTACTCTGAGTTTGGAATATTTAATGGTTGCATGTCTGTCAACTAGGGAAAACTCAGCAACTGCTTCTTCTTTTTTTGGCCTTAAAGATACAAACAAGTTCCAGACTACAACAATTTAATTAATGATATATACTTTTGTTGTTTTGTTAAACAAAAAGATGAGGCATTATGAATAATTTGATTTATTGAAAAAGCTTTGTACAATAAAAGCAATAGGATAATGTGATTAGGGGTATTAATTATAAGTAAGAATGTTTCATCAGCCAAATGCCATGACCATGTTGGTGAATATATATAAATATTTATATTACATAGAACAATACTATGGTACTTTCTTATACCATGTCAAATAGGATGAGGTAAAAGTTAAATCAATCAATGTAAAATTAAAATTTGGGCTTAATTATCATTATTTTTAAAAATTTGTTCAGCACTTATAACATTTTGAAAGCATTATATTATAATTATATTGTTTTTTGAACTGATATTTAATGTATCGTATATTTTGTAATTATGAAAAGAGCAGCAAAAAAAAAAATTAGCAATAAAATAATAATAAAAAAAAAATATATATATAAATAAATAAAGACGAAAAATTTAGTTATATTGTGTGAATTATGGTAAAATGTAAAGTTTTGTAAACTATAGACTATAATTTTTTTAAAACAAATAATAGTATGTTTTATTCATTAATTATAATAAACTATTCAAAAATCTGTGTCCTTTTTGTTCTAGCATCATTATTGAAAATAACTGGATTAAAAAAAACTCTTAACATACATAATAAAGTGGAGCTTAAAAAATATAATAAAATTAAAAAAAAAATTTGAGAAAATAGTTACTTGGCACTTTGTTCATTGACAAATATTGAAATTGTCTAGATTTATAACCCATGCACATGTTAGGTTTGAAATATGCAGCACTTTAATAAATTACCAAGGCAGCTTTCATCTGTAACATGGGTGTATATTTTATATATAGAGAGTTGAGTTTAGGGAATTGGAGCGGGTTACTTTTTTTTTATCAAAAAACAATTTTTATATCACAAAGCATATAAGACAAAAAGCATGTCATATGCAAAATATAAATATAATATTAAAACTCATGAGAGAGTCCTCATATAAGTCTTAATGTAGATTATTTTTCCAATATGGAAATTGATTGAAAAAGATACATAGTTACATTAGTATGATTGTTTACGGGAAATTTGACATTAAAATTGCTTCGACTATAATTATTATATTGATTGTTATGTTAATTATTTGATACTATGAACAAGTATGAAAAAAACAAAGTTTTTTTTTAAATACATTCTAAAGCATAGTGACCTCAGTTTTAACAACAGTAGAGTACTGTGAAATACCGTTTTGGTGACCGTTAACTTTTCCATATTGTTGTCGCTGAACCATCCAATGCAGCACAAACAAGTTCTTAAATGTATCTCTAAACTGTTGACTCATTATACAGTAGAGGATAAAGTTTACCGCGGAGTTGAGCAAGACCAAGAGATCTAAGACGTCACCGAGGTTAGAATATATTTCCTCAAAGAAATGATCGTTCAGACCGCTAATCATTGCAAGAATCCCTTGCGGCATTTCCGTGATCACAAAAAATAGGACAACAGAGACGAGCATCCACGTTGTACGATTATGTTCGTGGTTGACGTCGTGATCTGACGATCGTGTCTGTTGCAGCAGACGTACACGACGTTTACTGGCCTGATGCATTGTCAGTATAATCATACTACTAAGTAATGTTAAGAGAATGCATGGGGCAACTTTCATTATCACACCGAAGAACCAGAATATCAGCACTTTATAAAAGTCATGCTCTTCCACAAAGACCGAGTCTACAATCCAGTAGCCACTGGAATTATATCCAAGCTCTCTCAGTGGAACTACTTTGTAAAGAAAGTAGTTCGGTATGCACACTATAATAGTTGCGATCACAATTATTGTAATTGTTAGGATGGCTCTATTAAGGCTACACAGTCGATTTCCGATCACATGATGACACACAAAAATATATCGAAACACAGCCAACGATACTGTAAACCACATTGCCATGTTATGGCACGTAATTATAAAATGATTGTGCACAAGAATAAAATACATCCATCCTTGCGAATGATGGGCTTCCCACTTTGGTTCTGTGGCTATGTAGAAATATGTCGCATAGACCAAGTAGGTCAGCATCGTCAAAAAGTCGGCAATTGCAAGTGCGGTCAAAATACAGTTTGTAGGCGTAATCATATGTCGCCTTGTCAACACGATAACATTAAGGATGTTCGATAACACTCCAAATATACAAACGATATTGCTTATATATCCATGAACTTTCCCATAGTTCTTCTGAAAGTCTATCATGGTTGTGTCAGCATTTTCTGTAGTTTGAGAGTCAGCCGACAGCCATGTAGTGTTGAAGATAGCCATTGTTAAGTTAGGCTCGGAAAACATTGCTGACATCTTCAATTATCTTTTTCTTCCAAACAATTCTTTTTTGTTTATTATCACTTATAACATTCAATTTATAAGTCTAGATTTTTAAGATAGATTACATTGTGTGATTTCTGAGGAAGCTTTTTCCGCAAACAATAGAAAAGTGGCATATGATCATTTTAACGTTCTATCGCAGCTTCCAGCCTGTCTATAATGTGTCATTAGGATCTATTTTCTATAAATGCCCTGTATTTCTCTCCTACACTAAGTAATGATATTGACACGTTACCCTGTACGCAGAATGTCTGTCGTAATAGTAGATCAATCCAGTTGTCTCAAGTTCCGCATTATTTTCTCACACCAGTAATTATTCATCTTCGAATTTCCTGTTCGTAAATTTAATTCACGTGCATCTCAAATTTCAATATTCTCAATTTTTTAATGCCGTTTACTCAATGACATTTATCCAATTTCAACAAATAAATAATATTATTACTCATTTATATTCCAATAATTGTTTCCCACTGTAATTTACAATCATTTGATATTTGTTACTTGATATCCGACGATATTCCTGCACCTTTTGTATTCCGAGAAATTCCAATTTTGTCCTAACGCGGTATCCAACAATACAATAAAAAAATTTCTAATCCAATACAGGTCAACGTGGTAAATCGTTATTGACTCTGTCATTAAAGTTCGCTTAGTGAGCCTGCTTAAATCCTTCGATAATATTTACAGACAATATCAACATCACATTATTTTTATTTACTCGGTTTAATGGTCCTGACCAATTGCAAACGACTTGCTTAAGTGGGATTGATTTTTATAAGGCACTGTTATAGCAGGCAAATTGTTGACAGCAGAAGAAAAAAGCTGTACTAGTAAACAACGGGGGAGTAAAGAGAGAGAGTTACGTGTCTAGTCTAAACTTTTTATATACAATAAACAGCTCAATATTGGGTAGCTTTGAAAAAAGAATTGCATTCTGGATAGCTGGCGAAGCTCATTATGACACAAATGTTTATTTTGATCGGTTTTCGAGATATTGTTTTTTGTTTATTAGAAAAATTATTGCCAGTTTTTAGCTGATTTCTAAAATTTCCAGTTGAAGATTTATCCTCTGGCACAATTGATTACATCTATTTTTCTGGAATTATCAAATCTTTGCACTTTTCCTGTTATCAAAAATAGCCTCTGTCAGAAAAATTGTCCATTTATAAAAAGAGCAATTTGTAAATAGTACCACTTTATAATACACAATATACTGACCGTCACTTTTATATGACACTATTTATTGTTCGGTATTAATGGTATATAAATATAACATAGTTCCTAGAAATTGTCGTTCTAAATACGTTCTAAATATGCTAACAATCATTCAAGGTTATCTTGGTCAATCTCAGATCATCCGTTCCATGTCAGAAGTCTAGTTTTAAATGGCCTCAAGAATCGGCTGTTTCCTCGTCGTTTCCTCGGCAACTATGGTAGATATCTAGAGTACCATGAGAATGCCTGAAAATAGAAACAATTACAGATTGATTAATTGGGATCCCCAGCAGTGTTTCTGTTATCTGTAACAATTACCTTAAATGGCTCTGTAAAAGCAAAGAAAATTAAATTTTACAATCATCGACAGCAAATGACTTACGACTTTCAGAAATGAAAAAAAGTGAAAAAGGTGCCAAGTTGAAAAAAAAAAAAGAAGAAGATTTTGTTTGTTTGTTTCTGTCAAATAGTCAGCTGCTCTTAATTCCTAATCAGAAATTGTGAAATATGCTGTTGACAGAGACTTCAGCTCAAGCATTCTTTAGATTCTATACCTCGCCTTCTTTTGCCACTCTTTCCTCAAGTTGCGCACTGTAACTTCTCATTGATTAGCAAAACTCGACAGCGTTGGAGAAATGACTTGAATAATATTATTTATAACTGTTACGTCAACCAAATAAATAAAAAAAATCATTGTTTAGCCCAGGAGTGCAACCTTCAATGTCATACATAATGGCTATCTGGAATGTTACTTAATGATGCATGCGACGAGTAATCTAAGGATTGCTGGCTGCGTGGGTTCAGACCTCGTCAGTAAACATTGTTTCCTTCAGTGAAAAGCTTGACACTCATTGCTCACTAATGCTTAGTCCTTAGATGTTCCCAGAATGGCTTCGAAGTGTTTCTATAACTTACAGCTTCAAACACAATTGACATAAAAATAAATTCTGCATTTACTAAATTATATAACGTAGACTGTATCAAGTATTTGTTAAATAAATCCTGCATTAACTAAATCATGCAATGTGGACTGGTTACAATGATAAAGAATAAGTGTTTCAATCTCAACTTTCTAACTGAGAATCAGTCTGATAAAAATAAACAACATCATGACTTTAATCTACTTATTGTTTAATCATGTATCCTTAATATGAGGATAATTTCTCCAAAAAATCGATGATGATAAATCCTCAAACTGAGTGAACTTGATTAATATTCATTAAATTCTGGACTTTTTTTTCAAACATACAAAATTACTAATGATATCTAATATCATGCAATCTTAAGAATGAATGGCTCGTTAAGATTAAGTCATTTTTAAGCATTATGAACATGATATTGAAGAGGTTTTTTGTGTGTGTATATTGCAACTTCCAACATTTTAAAGAAGAAATGGGGTTTAAGTGTCATGAACCATTCATTGGTAGGGCTTGGTAACTTAATTTTTGTAATGTTTTCAATATGGTAATTTGCTTCACTACTAACAATGCTATATCATTTAAACTTTGTTTGGAAGCTCTTTGATGAGTTCTAGTGTTCCTATTAATTTCAGGTCGAAATGTCAGAGGTCTAGGTTACTAGTACTTGTAATATACTTGTAATAGCAAAACATAAAATTGGTCATTAATTCAAAGTGCCTTGACCTTGGAACTTCAATCCTCACCATACCCATTTTTGAACATATAAATAAAGGTCAGTGTCCAGATCAAAATGATATTAAAAGTTAAGATTAGTTATTACATAAAAATGTTTTGATTGTAATTTGCTTTTATTATACTGTCCAGCACTGAAAAAAGTGGAGGTTTTTTTTTTGTCCGGGGATCAATTTTGTTTGATTTTGAAAATCCCTTAAACTTTTATATAAGACTGTCCCAAATTCAAAACAGGTTATGTCCCTCATAGAAATTCAGCAAATAAAGGGTTTATTTTACAAAATTGATATTGAAAACATTTCTATCTTGAAGTATAAGACTGCGGGATTATTATCCTTTAAGTATTTATTACAAGAATCCTTATAACACTGGAATTCCAATTGAAGATTTCTAAACCTAGCCTCCAAATAGCACTTACGGCTGCCAAGAAGGTGGAAAATTGGCTTGCCTTGTGGTAACTGAAGTTTGTGTATTATGCTGGAGAATGGGGCGGAAAAATGTGAAGATTGGTTAGCTTTTCTCTGACCATAGGTTTTATACACTATATGGAAGAGTATTCATTAAGCATCCAGGAAAAAGTTTCTTACAGTCGAATGGTTTATGTGTAATGAAGGAAACACTGGCCACTATTTAACCATAAACATGTCATTGAAGGACATGGAAGCCTGTGTATTTGCGGGATTCTGGACAGTTTTCTGCTTGTTTATGCGACAGACACCGTCTCAAATTAGACTGCTACTGAAGATGATTCTTTGGCTTGAGTGGAGAGTAAACAATCAACAATTACCAGATTGACATCAGTCAAAAAAAAATAAAGAAGCTAGGGGAAGTCTCGTTTTCAGAAATAAATTGAAATTCATGTCATGAAACAGATTTAATCCTTTTTAATAAGAAAACTCGGAGTCTTTGATATAAGGAATACAAGGTAACGTTAACATGCATATAAATGTTAACATATACTTTAAGCAATATAATTCTGATGCCCATTGTTGTATCATTCTTGACAGAAGACATTTTATTTTTGTAATAAAATTGTCACTGCTAATGAAAGATATTTGTCATCTGGTTCAGTGTCAAAAACTTATTTCTAAACTGATAATCAAAAAATAATATGGTCCTAGACAATTTATATGTATCAACAATTTAGAATGTTATGTAATAAACAGAAACCTAGATTAAAATCTTATCCAAATAATAGATGCGGAAAAAGTACTTTTATCCCTAGAATATTATCCGAAAATGTGCCAAATTTTTTTCTCATTTCATTCAACCTTTCAAATGCTCTATGTTGCACTTCTTGATTTATCTGCAAATGAGCCGTTTTTTAACGTCTGCAAATTAATCAGTTCAGTTGTTAAGGCAGGCGAAACTGCGAATTTTGAGTAATAATCCTGTTTAAAAAAGGCAGACCTATAAGCATATTGGTATTCAGATATAAGAAAAGTTGTCCGACCCGTGGGATTTTTCTCATTAACTTTTCCGCTGTGCAGTGCTAACTCTGCGGATATACTCCGAGGTGGCGCACAAAAGAAATCTATTCTTGCTATGAATAATGCATTTTCTTGTACTAGCTATTCAATTGTATTATCAATCAAGGGCAAAGAAAAAAAGATATATTAAAATCAGCGTCAAAGGAGTTGTCTTTAATGTTGATAAATCACGTATATTCTTCTTTGTGTATTGTATTAACATGTCAAAGAAAGAAAAGGAGGAGTAGAGGTTATATGTTAAAGAAAACCAGATTAGAGATTTTATTTCTTGGAGAAATTCGGGTACATAATTTATTTTGTAGACAGATTTCCCGTAGGAAACACTAAGAGCTTAAAATAAATTAAATATGTTCACAAGTCATTGTAAAATGGCTTAAATTAAGAACATTTTCTATGTTTGCCCTTTTATTTTAGTTACATTACATTTACATAATACTTAAATTAACATGCTCTGTTAGTAAATAGTTTTTATGGATTTTGACTTGCAAAGTTTTGTCACCAAACATGCTAAAAAGAATTTTTTCTGCAAGTGTAAAGGTCAAAAAAAGGAAGACTGTGGGAGCCAAAAAACAGTGGTCTGATATTATCAGACATGGTGAAACATTGTAAATGTACTATTATAAACAGTGCATCATTCTGTAACAGACAGCATTCCGTAGCTATGTTATACATGAAATACCATGTCTTCCTAGATAATATGCCAACAATTCTTGTGAAAGTTAATTTGTACCTTTACTCGCAGCCACTTGTGTACTGTTATCAAAGAATATTATACCATATACATTTCTAAAATGTTACAACTTGGATTTTTTTTTTTCTGAAGATGAACGCTTAATTTATTGTTTACTTATTTATAAAATATCCTCTTGAAATTATTCTTGGTCATAGCAATACTGATATTGAATCTTTGAAGAAATGTTCAATTTTAAAGCTATTTAATATGAGCAATCAGTTTTTATTCAGAATTCGGAAAAACAACAAACAAGAATTTTTTTATATTTTTTTTGGTAACATTTAGGTGATATTCTTTTGCAAACAGTTGTCATGTTTGTTGTTGTTTTTCCATTAATGAAAGAGTAAGTACTGTCACTTAATCTAAACTAATATATAATATTTAAAAAACAATGGCTTAATTAACTTAAAAAGGAAACAAAAGTTTTATCTTGGTCCTCATGTATATAATTTAGTCACATTCAGCTTAAAAGATAGGGGATGTATTTTAATGTATTAAAAAATAATTTGAAGCATTTGCGATGCTTAGAATATATCACTTGAAAAAGAAGTGTTGAATGTAAAATTCATGTGCTTTGTTTAAATAGTCAGCAAAACATAAACAAAGTGATATTTTGACTTCCATACCAAATACTAAATCACAAAAACAATTAATTGCCAAAATTTAAAAACAAAAGATGGTTCAGCTTTACATGATCAAGTAGCATTTATTTAGAAACTTTTGACAGTCAACACAGTAAAAAATGCTTATTATAAAAAGATTATCATTATTATGCCTAATGGGACTTAAACTTAAGCACTTGTTATGTTTTTCAATAGATACCTATATATCTTATGAATAACGTATAAGTAAATATCAATTATAAAGAAATTGGAATTAAAATGATTATGAATTATTTCAAAACTTCCAACAAGTTGCAACAGGCTTTAATGACAAACTGTTGTGTTTGATTTCACAGTGAACGTATGCCAGTTAAAGGTGTGAAAATTAGTGGAAAACATCCACTTCAAAATGATTTAAAAAGAATAAATCAATGATTTTAATATGAGTTTCCGCAACCATTTAAAATGGTTTACGATCCCTTTGTTATTTCCAAGTGTTGATAAATAAATGTAAACATACAATATTGATTATAATTAATTGGGGGAAAAAAAATTGCCTTGATATTAATTGGGAAAATTGTCACTATATCATTCCCATCTTTAGTTTACTGGTAAAAATGGATGTTGAATAAATGATAACTCAGGTGTGTCAATCTTAATTGAAAATTAAAGTTTGCACATGTTATAGTAAAATATCAGGTAAAGGACTTGAAATTTGACTATTTTTGAAAAACACCTAGGACTAAGACCGGAACAAAACTTTATACTTCTTTTGATTCACTAATGAAAATTTTGTATGTACAACTTATTTTGATCACTCATGATTATACTATTCACAGATAGCAACAAAGAAATTTGAAAATAAGGTATTAAAGTCATGGGCCTGACAGCTAGTGTTTGAACCCATATGGCGGCCAGGCCAGCAATCCTTAGATTACTCAAGTCTGATGTGTTAACTGCTTAGCTAGCCATTTTGCCATACTGCTGGTAAACAAATTCCTTGAATTCATGATAATCTCAAACCACAAAAAAAAAAAAAAAATACATCAAACCACAAAAGAGAGAAATATCAAGTAAATAAAAACACCAAGCCATGTATAATGTCATGTATACAAGCCATTTCTTTCTTTTCCCCGTGTTATCTTATCATAAAATATAAAGTCCATGAAAATAATGTGCAATTGATTTAAATTTGCATTTAAATATGTTGATTTTAATTAAAATTCTGTGCTGATTTATTTTGAATTAAACGCTTTTAGATTTTGCAGGGAGGTTGTCTTTCTGTTGTATTAATTCCAAAAATAATCATAAAAAGTAACTTTCTTTGTTTTTATTGCATTTTTTTATTTTTGATATTTTCAAAATGTTCATTCTTTTATTTTGTTTAAATTAATTGAGTTTTATAAACAGGGTTTTAATAAATTAGCATCAAGTTATATGTCATCATTTTATTTCTTTTTTTTACAAACAACAAAATCTCAGAAGATTATTTTGTTTGATACTTATTGTGATAAAGTTTTTAATTTATTAACCCATTAGATATTTTTATAATAATTATTTATAGTTATTGCAATAAAATATTTAATCTTTTATCAGTTGGATATTTTGCCCAAAAAAACTGAATTACTTTATTCCTTTATTCTCATTTACTTATCTATTTAAAATCTATTTTAAAAAAAATATAATAAAAAAATCAAGAAAAAAAGAATAAAAATAAAAATCATACCTGTAAATGTCATATTTATAAATTTGTATTTATAAAATCCACATCATTTGAGTATTTTGCATTAATAATAATAATAATTCTAAGCACTTAAATATAGCAAATTGATACACATTTAATAACTATTTAACAATATATCCCCGTATGATATTATAACGAAGCACCAAACAATTTTATATCTATATCGAAAGCGTAGTATTGTATTCCTATACTAGTACCAGCCTTGTCGGGCATGTAAAATATTGTGAAAGCCTGTAACATACTGGTGTAACAAGATCAATAGAAAATGACTGATTTCGTTACTGGAGAGAAAATATACCAACTTTTGTTTCTTCTAATTCAATAAGAAATGATTCTGAGTTACGAAGTTACGAGTTACGTACTTCTTCAATACTTTGTTGTATGGGGTAATATAGTAAAGTGGTAGTTACTTAGTTAGGAGGGTTAAAGTTACTTTGGGACTTCGGGTATTGGAAAAGAATCGTCTAGAATGCTTGAAAGAGATGAAAGTCCCCTCTGGGTAAACTTAATATTGATAGGAAATTTAGAGCTCTGACTTTTTCAAAGGAGAAGAAACCAGCACCTTTGGTTAGCTTAATTATAATGATCTTGAAAAAAAAAAAAAATTTATTCTTATAAAAAAATGTAACAAAAACAAGAAATGGACAGAGAAGGCCCACAGCTTTCAGTTGAACATTTACTAAATTAACATAGATAAATGACAAGTACAAATAAGTACAATTTAAATGTAAAGGGGTATCCAAAACATATACCATCATAAATATTTATATTTGATAATTTCTACAATATTTCTGTAATAAATAATTTTAAAAAATGCATGTTATTTATATGATTTAAAATTGTTGTTGTGTTATTAATATTTTCTATATTTTCTGTATGAAAAGATTTTAAAATTTCTTTCTGAATCATTGTTTTTTGTCATCATTTTCAGCTTTAATTTGAAATCTACTGTAAAATCTTTATAAGGAAATATGTAGCTAACTTACGGAATTTATTGACAAGTTCAGATCGCATCTAAATCACAAAAACTTTATTTGACAGAATTACTGTCATAAATAAATAGCTCAAAAAGTCAATGAACTTGATCTGTAGAATTTATTGGAATGTTTTTTTTACTTTTTTTTCTTAATGGAACCATATGCTTTATTGCTATGTAACTAGAATTTATATATTTTGGATACAATGTATGTGTTTTTTTTTTGTGTTTTTGTTAAATTCACCTGATCTTCAATATTCTTTTTTGAAATTTTTTAAATTAATTTTTTAATGTGATAATGTATCGTCAACAATAGCTCAACTTTTGAACTCTATGATTCAAACAAAAACAAGACAAAGGGTATTTATTCTGGCTTGAACCCTCCCCTTATTGTAGGGAGAAAAGAATGTATATGAATTAATAACTTTCCTGAGAGGTTTTTTTAATGGACCTAAAATAACAGCACAATAGTTTGTAGATGATGGACTACAAAAGAATGAAAAGAAGCTGTATGAAAAAACAATTATTTACACATAAAAAAGTGCTGAAGAACACTTCAAGAGCATTTTCCATTTCCAAGTACACAGAGGCAGTATTTCCATTTCCCCCAGGTTATACACTTTAAGTTATACACTTAAAAATTACACACTTAAAAGTTTTTAGTTTCATACTTTAAGTTATACACTTAAAAATTACAAACTTAAAAGTTAAGCACTTAAATATTATAAAGTTAGAAATTATACACCTTAAAAGTTATTCACATAAAAATTACACACTTAAGGATTATACACTTAAAAGTTTTATATTTTGAAATTACACACTTAAAAGTTGTTTACCTAGAAATTATTCACTTTAAAAAGTTTTTACTTAAAAGAAACACTTAAAAGTTGTTTACTTAGAAATTATACACTTAAAAGTTGTTATGCTTAGAAAATAGTTACAATACACTTAAAAGTTGTTTACTTAAATAAAAAAAACACTTAAAAGTTGTTTACTTAGACATTATACACTTTAAGTTATGAAAAAAGTAGTACATTACTCCTTATGAGTTAAGTTTTTTTAAAAGGGTTAATTATTTACAAAAGTCTTCAGATAACTGATATCGTCAAGGTGATGAAAAAGATAGACCTCCATAGATGAAGTTGCAGCTCCGATCTAAAATTAAACTTAATCCTGAAGCATCTTGTATTCTTTCCAAGAAAACTGTAGTTAAAAATAGTTATCTTAACTACATAGTCATTTCAAAATCTTGATTTTTTTACCCCAAAAATAAAATTATTGAGCCATTCACTTAAAACTATTCTCGTTTATTCACACCTGACCAAATAGTTAAGAGATTTTATATTTCTTGAGGTAATCAGTTTAGATAACAAACCAATTAATCTGAAATCCTCCTAGCTGTGAGAAGATTTCTCAGAAAATGGCGTCTGCTAAAATAATTACTTTCCTACCCTAGGTGAAAAATAATATCAGTTCTGAAGCAAACAGAATGATATTGAAACCTGTGTGTGAGTGTGCTCAAAGCTCAGAAGAGCTTAACTTAAGCTTTTGGGATCGACTGGGTACCGCTTAAAAAAAACTTAATTTGTAAAATGGACGTGTCCTGCTTTGGATTTGAGACAGTCAATAAGTGAATAAAGGGCTTTTAAGAGAATGGTCTGGTCACATGGTCAAAGATAGTAGAAAATTTTAGCAAGCAGTCAACAGAAGATGGCCACAGTTCAATGAAAATGAGCAGTCAAATATTGTCTAGTCAAATGGATCAAAATAGTAAAATTATGAAATCAGTCATTTAGCGTATAGAGTCTAGTCAAATGGATCAAGATAGTTTATTTATAATAAGCAGTCATTTAGTGTATAGAGTCTAGTCAAATGGATCAAGATAGTTTATTTATAATAAGCAGTCATTTAGTGTATAGAGTCTAGTCAAATGGATCAAGATAGTAAAATTATAATAAGCAGTCATTTATTGTATAGAGTCTAGTCAAATGGATCAAGATAGTAAAATTATGATAAGCAGTCATTTATTGTATAGAGTCTAGTCAAATGGATCAAGATAGTAAAAGTATGATAAGCAGTCATTTATTGTATAGAGTCTAGTCAAATGGATCAAGGTAGTAAAATTATGATAAGCAGTCATTTATTGTATAGAGTCTAGTCAAATGGATCAAGATAGTAAAAGTATGATAAGCAGTCATTTATTGTATAGAGTCTAGTCAAATGGATCAAGGTAGTAAAATTATGATAAGCAGTCATTTATTGTATAGAGTCTAGTCAAATGGATCAAGATAGTTTATTTATAATAAGCAGTCATTTAGTGTATAGAGTCTAGTCAAATGGATCAAGATAGTAAAATTATAATAAGCAGTCATTTATTGTATAGAGTCTAGTCAAATGGATCAAGATAGTAAAAGTATGATAAGCAGTCATTTATTGTATAGAGTCTAGTCAAATGGATCAAGATAGTAAAATTATGATAAGCAGTCATTTATTGTATAGAGTCTAGTCAAATGGATCAAGGTAGTAAAATTATGATAAGCAGTCATTTATTGTATAGAGTCTAGTCAAATGGATCAAGATAGTAAAAGTATGATAAGCAGTCATTTATTGTATAGAGTCTAGTCAAATGGATCAAGATAGTAAAATTATGATAAGCAGTCAACTAAATAGAGACTGGTCAGATGGACTAAATTAGTAGAGTCATTTAGAGTAAAGTTTCTGGTCAAATGGAACAAGAAATAATAGCAAGATTTAGACATTACATATATGAATTTTTAAACAGAAGATGCCCATCCACTCCTATCCAGATATAAAATAATGGTTTCATTGCATAAGTTAAAAGCTAAATGAATAATTTATTAGATACAGAATACCCTTAAGAAGCAGAATGAGCAATTATTGTGTCACAAAAGAAATTTCCAATCAATGAATTAAATGTACCATATAATATAAATACATTATATACAAATAGCAGTCTTGTTTCTCAATGCTTGATTACATTGGATTAAAGAAACCCTTGTAAAATCGAGGAGTTTATCGCAAAATCATTATAGTAGCTTGTTCTTTGTTTTTGTAGCTTTAAAATCCCTTACTTGATTAATGGTTGGTTCCAAATTCAAGACAGGGCTTGTGTATTTTCAAAATTTAGGGTGAAATATTGGTTTTAAAATTTATGAAATTTTAGGAAAGCAGATCACCATCATTATGTCCACCTAATATTTTAAGAGCATAAAATTACTGAACATTTTCTTAATTATTGAACAAATTTGAATGTATAAATATTTTTATGCCACCGCAGCATCTGCGATGCGGTGGCATATAGCGATTCACCTGTGTGTGTGTTTGTTTGTGTGTGTGTGTGTTATATAGATTATATAGTGAACTTAAAAAATCTTCTTGTGAAAAACCACTAGTCCAATTTCAACCAAACTTGGCAGGATTGATCCTTGGGTGAAGGGCTTCCAAAGTTGTTCAAAGAATTACATTCCATGCAGAAATCTGGTTGCCATGGCAACCAAAAGAAATTATAAGAATAAATTAAAAAAATCTTCTTGTAAAGATCCAAAAGGCCTAGAGCTTAGATATTTTGCATAACACATTGTCTGGTAGACCTCTACCAAAATTGTTCAAATTATAGCCCTGGGGTCAAAATCGGCCACGCCCCGGGGGTCATTGATTTTCACTATATGTACATGTAGAAAAAACCTAAAATACCTTCTTGTATAGACCCAAAAGGCCTAGAGCTAAGATATTTTGCATAAGGCATTGTCTGGTAGACCTCTACCAAGACTGTTCAAATTAAAGCCCTGGGGGTCAAAATCGGCCCCGCCCTGGGGGTCATTGATTTTCACTATATGTACATGTAGTAAAAACCTAAAATACCTTCTTGTAAAGACCCAAAAGGCCTAGAGCTTAGATATTTTGCATAAGGCATTGTCTGGTAGACCCTTACCAAGATTGTTCAAATTATAGCCCTGGGGGTCAAAATCGGCCCCACCCCGGGGGTCATTGATTTTCACTATATGTTCACATAGTAAAAACTTAAAATACCTTCTTGTAAAGACCCAAAAGGCCAAGAGCTTAGATATTTTGCATAAGGCATTGTCTGGTAGACCTCTACCAAGATTGTTCAAATTATTGCCCTGGGGTCAAAATCGGCCCCGCTCCGGGGTTCATTGGTTTTCCTTTAATGTATGTAGTAAAAACTTATAGTAAAAACTTTAAAAAAATTTCTTCAAGCAATTGACAAATGCTGGAGGTTAGATGTTTTGCATGAAACATTGTGAAGTGAACTTCTAGAAAGATTGTTCAAATTATAGCCCTGGGATCAAAATTGCCCCCGTCCTGGGGGTCATTGATTTTCAATATATACATATAGTAAAAAGTCAAAAATCTTATTGTCTGAAGGTACAAGGCTAAGAGCTTTGATATTTGTTAAATAATATCATCTATAGGTACTCTACCAAAGTTGT